TATAGGTATTTTCAATATCTTATTGTATACTGTAAATTAATGTGGGTGCTGTCACCTCGAGTAAAATGTATGCCTTGTGAGGTTAGAAATTTTGTTCACCATGGTAAAAATACTACCTAGAAAACTTAAGATACTCACTGATGATTAAAATATTATTCATTTATAAAGATAATAATACTGACAATGATGATAGCAGCTTGAATTAGAATTAAGATCCTCCTGATAATTCTATAAATATTCTAAAAGTTATCATCTAAAAAAACAGAAGCTCAAGGCACTTAAGAGCAATCAAGGCAACCAGGAGAGAGCCAATACCTTAGAAAGTAGAGTTTGATGCTGATGTGAACCATATATTTTCCTTCACGAAAATGTTCCTTCAGTAAAGTTTGAAATTTATTAACAGGAAAGAGATGCCAAACATAAATTTGAGGACTGCTTGGAGAGTTTCACTGGAATAAAGTGAAAAATGTTGAAGTGTACAAATACTAAAGCAGTGAATAGTGAAGGACCAAGATCCCAGAGTTGAGCAAACTAAAGAAATATGAGCTCAAAGTCATGTCTACAACTTCCCTTCACGTTTTCTAATTCCAAGTAGTAAATGTGCACACAAGATGCTGAAAAGCACAGCACAACAGCCACAACGGGAAACTAAAGAACTAAGAAGACATTTTTCAATCATTTGGTGGAGTAGAGAAAGGGATTGGAATTCAGGGATAAACAAGGTGAAAGAAACCTGATATATACCCCAGGTTTTCAGATGAAACACCCTACTGTTTTAAATTTAAGAGAAACAAGAAATAGAACAGCCATACCTAAACAAACAAACAACAACAACAACAAAAAAACAAACTTAAAAATTAGCCTATACAATATTAGCCTACAATAACTGCTTTTCGGAATAAAATTAAATCTTCTTTAGAGAAAGAAAACAACATCTTTACATAGATAAAGTCTGGTACATAACCAAAGATTAAATGCATAGAAAGAAGATGAACTGACTAAACATCCAAGAGATAAATAGCCAATAGAAACAAACCTATAAGTGATCCAGGCATTTCATTAATTGAGAAACTTTCAAAAATACCACACTTGAAATGTTCAAGAAAATATATATAAGATGATATAAAACTTCAAGTTGATTTAAATAAAAGGATCAAATAGAAATTGTAGAAATAAACAAAAGAAATGAAGACTTCAGGAGATGTGCTAAAAATGATTAGATAAAGCAGGAGAGATAGTTAGTGAACTCCAAGATAGGTCAATAGAAACAACAAAATTAAAACACAAAATGTTTCAGGACATTGAAAATAAAAAGCCACAGGCAACAGAAACAAAACTAGACATATGGGATTGCACAAAATGTTTGTATTTCTACACAGTAGAGCAGTAGAGGAAACAATTAATGAAACAAAGGATCAAACAACATAATAAGAGAAAATACTTATAAACTATACATCTGATAAGGAGTTAGTATTTAAAATATATGAAAAACTAAAAAAAAACCCTGATTTTAAAAAAATGGATCAAGTATGTGAATAGACATTTCTCAAAAGAAGACAAAGATCAACAGGTTTATGATAAAATGTTCAACATCACTATCTTCAGGGAAATACAAGTTAAAGTTACAATGACACATCACCTCACAACTATTAGAATTAATATTATTAAGAAGAAAAAGATAAAAAGAGTTGTTAAGTATGCAGATGAAAAGGAACTGTCTAATACTGTTGGTGGAGAGGTAAATTATTACCAGTCATTAAAGGAAACACTATGGAGTCTCCTCAAAAATTAAAAATAGAACTACCAAGTTACCAAACAATCCCACTTCTGGGATCTACCCAAATGAAATCAATATGTTAAGATATCTGTACTCCCATGTTTATTGTAGCATTACTCATAATCTTTAAGACATGAAATCAACCTAAATATCTGTCTGTGAATGGATAAGGTCACAAACATATACAAGTGGATATTATTCAGTCACAAATATAAGGAAATTATGCCATTTGCAACAAGATAAACGAACATGGAGAACATTATGCTCAGTGAAATAAGCCAGGCACAGAAAGACAAATACTATATAATCTTACTTATATATGGGGTATCTGAAAAAGCTAATATCATAATAGAGAGTATAATTATGGTCCCAAAGACTGCAATGTTTTGGGGGAAGCAGAGGAAACACTTTTCAACCCCATGTGTAAGGCCAATACAACCATTACACCAAAATACAAAGATATAACTAAGCAAGAAGTGAAATTTATAGTCTCAACATCTTGAATTCAAATGAAAAAATCATAAACAAAACATTAGCAAGTCAAATCTACTGGTATGTTAAAAAAATGCATTATAGCCAAATTAGTTTATTCTAGGAAGACAAGGTTTAGTGTTAGAAATTAATCAGTTATATGTATATATATATATATATATATATATATATATATATACATATATCTCCCAAATAACATATATAGGATCATCATCATTAACAGCAGCAGCAGCATTATCATCATCATCTTGCCTTTGAAGATGCTAAGGAATAACCTCCTTAACCCATAGTTTCTATGAGATCTACAGGAACCTTTTCATTTAGTTGGGAGTATTTAAATTTTCATCCTAAAACCAGGAAGTAGAAAAGAATGTTTGTAATGACCATCACTATGCAAATTGTACTTGAGGTAATAATCAGGACAATGCAATAAGAAAAACAACTGAAATAAAAGTTAGAAAAAAGAAAAAGAACTATCATTTTCCATAGGTGACATGATTAGATACATAGAATATTTAATAGACTTAAGAATCTATTAAACATAATAAGCAATTTCGGCAAAGTGGCTGCATACACAATCAATAAAATAAAAATAAAGATGAAATGCATTTCTATATGCTAATCAAGCATGATATCAGCAAACACCAAATAGCTAGGAATAAATCTATAAAAATGTACAACACCACTATGAAAAAAACCTTCATAGTTTCTTGATATTGTGTATATTTCAAAAATCCCTCTATATTATTTTTTTAATCAGTATGACAATTTCAGAAAGAACAGAAATTGGCTTCTCAATAATACAAGTCATTATGTATAATGGTTTCCATATTGAAGTTCATTGTAAACAAATTCTGTTCAGTGAAGAAAGCAGGCATAAATTAACTCATCTCTTCAAAATCAAGGTAAATTAAATTTAGTTCTGAAGAACATCAGAAAGAAATTTACAAAGGTAAATAAACTGCAAGGATTTTGCATGAAAGGTGTAGGGTGATTTAAAAGCGCTTTAATTATTTTCAAGATAGCTAGTTGGTTTTTTTTTCACTTAATATAAATAAAAAAAAATTCCCACAGAAAATAATTGACTTTATAAGGGAATTTTCAGAAACAATTTAATTTCTTTGAGTATTTGAGATTTGAAGACAAAATAATGTGAAATAATTGTCAATTTTAAAATTATTTTACCTACGCGTCAATTAAAAAATAATAATCTTGGCATTTCTAGAGACATACTGATTAGCAGCATGCTCTGAAAGGTGATTTTATATCCTAAAAGAATAATGTTGAATTTTAAAAGGCTTCCTTTTGATTAAGATATGACTATGTATAATTAAGAAAACAATTTAGATGTGAGCAATAGTGTTATATAAATAATAGCTTCATCTTAGTCTTTTTATTAATTCTTTTTTTTAAACTATAGATGGACACAATACCTTTATTTTATTTATTTATTTTTATGTGGTGCTGAGAATCAAACCCAGTTTCTCATACATGCTAGGCAAGTGCTCTACCACTGAGTTAAACTGCAATCCCTCATCTTAGACTTACTGATACAATATTTATGAATTCATAATTCAATATTACAGTGAAATTTGGAGACGCTTGATAAATTATGTCTGACAAACAAATAGAGAAAATACATAAAATAGATTTAACTTTTCTGACTGAATTTAAAAGAAAATATCGTATTACTGAATGTCAAAATTCTCATGATATGTGTGTGCGGGTGTGTGTGTGTGTGTGTGTGTGTGTGTGTGTATATATATATATATATATATATATATATATAATTATATTTAACTCCTAGAGTTATTCACTGGATACTGGTTCCAAGACCCCAGTGGATACCTGAAACCGTGTATTGTACAAAACCCAATAGATGATATAGACAACATTGCCAGCATCACTCACTGGTTTTATAGTCCAATTCCAGGCATAATGCTAATAAAGAATTACTTGAACAAAAGCACTATGATGCTGAAAAAGTGATCTGTTAACTGTGATATCTACTAAAAAGCTAGTGGGTAGGCAGTATATACAGTGTGGATACTGTGGAGAAGATGATTCATGTCCTGAGACAAAGAGATGATTCATGTCCTGGGAAGGATGAACGGCCATATGAGGTTTTATCACACTACTCAGGACTGTGCACAGTTTCAAACTAATAAATTATTTATTCCTGGAATTTTCCATTTAATATTTTAGATCATGAATAAAGAAAAGACTTATGTACTTTTTAAATGAAGTATTAAGTTCATGAAATACAACAAAAACAAAAACAAAACAAACCAGAATCTTTTCCAGTTCAAAGAAAACTAAAGAAAAATAACAACTAAATGTAACTTGTCTTCATTGATCTGACTAAAAATGGGACATTAGTGGGATTACTGGAAAATATGAATAAAGTCAACTGGATCACAGTAATGCAGCAATGTTAATTCCAAAATTGGTAACTTTACTGTAATTACATACGACATTAGCCTCTGGAGAATCTGGTTCAAATGGTACAAGGTAATATTGTAACCATTTTATGACCACCTCTAAACATTGTACAAGATTATAGGGCAAATGAAGACAATGTTAGGAAAAGCATACTGACTCAAGTGTTACTTGGGAAAAATAAACTATAACATAACATTACTAGGATAAATACCTTAGAAACTGGTACACATCAAAATAGTGTACAGGTAATATTATAAGATAAATATTGTTTGTTGGAGTTGGTACTTACTTCATCAAATGTAAAATCCTCTAAATCTATTTCTTCATATTCTTCTTCAGATTCTTCATTTTTGATAGCTTCTAGAGCTGTTGTCAGTTTCTTTCTCAAAATAAAGCCTTTCCAAACTGCCTAAACAAAAATTTAAACTATGTTATACAGGGTTATAGATCAAACCCCAAACCAGATTCTCTATGTTATCCCATTAGAAAGATAAAACATCTTAGAACTCAGTTTAATGGCTCAATAATCTGTTTTTTGAACTTTATGTGACACTTAAAACTGTAAGATAAATTAAACGACTGCATGTGTCTGAATCTCAGGAGATTTTCTTTGTGGTAAGCAGAAAAGAATCTTTAAAACTCCCTCAACTACACATGTAGGTCAACCAATCAATTATCTGACAATTCCTCTAGGACTCATTCTAAACTAAGAAGAAAGAGATACAAAGAAAACCAATTTTGCTGATTTTCAAATGATTGTGTATAATAAGCCAAAGCATATTTAAGAAAACTTCAACATATACAAACACCCCATAACAATTAATTAATTTCATTTTAAAATAAAGTCATCACAATGAAATTAAAAATATTCAGATTACTTAATAATCTTGGAGCTGGGATGCTTTTCAAACTATACATCTAAGTATAATGAAGCTTTAGTATCTGTATATAAACATATATAGATATATACATATGTTTATATACTGCATATGAGTTTCAGAATATATTAAGCATAAAATCCAGGCAAAAAATAATTATGGTTTATTTTTCATACTACTGTTTATGAAAAAATGTATATAAATATATTACAAACATGCACATTAAATAAACATATTGAAGTATAACGCTGGCTTACATTTAAAATTAAAAGTATAAATTATAAAATTTATTTTTAATATGGTTACACACAAAGGCAGAAAACTAGGTAGAAGGCAATAGAAACTTGACTTCTCTAAATATTCTTTGCTTGGATTTGGCTTCGGAACTATGTACATGCACACTCTGAATAAATAGCTGGTTTGTCCCATTTCTATGGTCTTTGTTTATTTCTACTTTATATGTATGTATAAACCCACTCCCCTACCTCTCCTCCCTCTGCACTCCATGGAGGGGGTGGGGAGTGAAACAGTGAAAAAAAGAGCAATTATGTTAGTAGGAACCAAGAGTTTATAAAGAAAAATTGCAAATGTAAAAATTAAATAAATATCATATAGTCCCAAATGTAATTTTAAAACACCTGTATGAAACATGGTAAGTTTTTTCCTTAAAAAATTATTTTCAGTGGGGCTGGAGTTGTAGCTCAGTGGTAGGTTGCTTGCCTCATATGTGTGAGGCTCTGGGTTTGATCCTTAGCACCACATAAAAATAAAATAAAGATATTGTGTCCACCTATAACTAAAAAATAAATATTAAAAAATTTGTTTTCAAGCTCAGCACATTGAAAAAAAATCTAAAAATAATGACCATATCTACATCAATTTATTCTGCTAAAATCCAGATTGGGGTCTCTGTATATTATTTCAACCAAGCAAACCAAGGATCTTTGAAGAAATTAATGATTGCAAGCCTGGGACAAAATGTCTACTAAGTGAACTTGAAACAATGTATTGTTTGTTATCAAATTATAAAGGAAGTAAAAATTTTGACTACTGAATTGTATCAAAAGGTTAACTTGAAGAAACACATTGGCCAAATAAGAAACAATTTGCACATTAACAAGAATAAATGCAATGGAAATATATACGTTTATGTACAAGATTATAGGGCAAATGAAGACTATATTAGGAAAAGCATACTGACTCAAGTGTTACTTGGGAAAAATAAACTATAATATAACATTATTTATTTATTTTTAAAGTTAATGAATTCATTATAATAATATGCATTATGGTAACCTCTGGAAGATGCTAGGAAACCTCACTGATCTAAAAATTGACAATTAAGGGAAAGTATCAAGCATTTAACCTGCCTTTCCAGGATGAACTATATAACCCAGGGTATCTAAAGAATTTATTAGAAAAAAATTTCCTGTATAGCATGTTTTAGCTAATAAACGAAGTAGCAAAAATGTACAGTATCATAATTTTACAGATAAATAATAAAATAGTTGGCATAGAAAATGTTTATAAATGGACACTAATATTCCTGAAAAGGAAGCCACCAGATATTAAGTACTTTGTTGTAATACATACCAAGATCTACAAAGTATCTTTGCTGAAAATAAACAAATCTGAATCAGATAGAATGTTAGATCTTGCTGTAGATTTACAAAAACAAATGAGCATGAGACATATTAAATGCACTGAGAACACACTGTGCAAAATTAGAGGAAGTACAAATCTATAAAGGATAAATGATCTGGCTTTTTCAGTGAATAAAACTTAAGGAAAAGAAGGGAATCGCTCTGTGTTAAACTATGAGTATCATGCAAACCAAAGGCAAAGTGCTTAATTTGCTTATATTTTGATTAAGAAAATGTTGTAAACTAACATTTTTAAAATTGGATAGGAAGTCTGAATATTGATATGATATTTGGAGATACTGAAAACTAATCATCACATTTTACCAATATATTATAGGTATATATAAATCAATAGGTCATACAGAAGGTAATAATGAAATATTCATGAAAGTGTGATTTGTGTCACACAATCTAGTGATGAAGAAGAAGAGATATGTTGGGTTTTAAAAGAGTCAATATTGGCTAGTAGTTTAACAATCAACATAATTTTGTAAAGTGTAAAACTAAGCTTTTTATGATAGAACAGTTAGTAAAGTATACCAGAAAAATCTATGGAGGTGGGAATAAAACATAAATGCAATAAGAAAAATATATAGTATGCTTAAAAATGCCACAGACTAAAACAAATTAGGATTAGGGAGTAGGGAGCATTGGGAAGGGGTTGCTATTTTAAATATAGTATCCCAGGAATCCCTCATTGTATAGTTAACATTTGAATACAAGCATAGTGGATCTATGAAACACCAACCTAAGGTTCCAAACAGTGAGCAAGATTTCTGTAGATGCCCACAAGTGCCATCTTCCATGCACTTTCATTCTGTGACCAACTTGTCTGTCAAATATGAATCTGTACACATTTCATTAAGGAACATTTCAAATACATAAAAGAGCCCTGAGTACCTATGTCCCTTCAGTGTCAGTTGAAGGTCTTTTACTACTCAGACAAATCAGAAGCTGTGCTAAATCTGTTATTGCTGTCATTAATTCTCAGGCATGTAATCCTGGGTAGGACATGCAGGCTGCTGATAAAGACTGACATACAGTGTCTTACAACGGCACACTGTATCTGGAGCTGGAGGACTGTCACAAGTGATGAATCCAATTCTCAATCATGTTCATCATGATTAGTCTCTGATACAGAGTAGCAGAGATTTTCTTTTCACACCCTGTGATAAATACTTGACTTTCCCAGTGTTTCCATCCTTATCCCCAAAGACATGAGAAACCCAGGCTTCCAAGAATAGGTATAGTTATCTATCTTACTTTTAGGGTGGGGATGGCACCATCAAAAAGATTAGTTCCTCCTAACTTAAGATCTCTACCCATCTAACATGTCTGATGTGAAAATGCAATTTTTCTCTCAACTTGAGACATACCCTTCTCAAGCATTCTTTGTTCAGCTACTTCCAATTCCACTTTTTGTACATGGAAGAAATTGGTTTCAATCAAACCTCACCATCAATCTCAACAGGCTGTTTTTCAGCTTCCTCTAAGATAACCTTACACAGAAGCAAGGAATAAGGCAGACACAGTTACTCCCTCAGAAAATTTACTTTCTTTCTTTTTTTTTTTTGTTCTTGCACATGTTTCAGTCTTCAGATTCCATTCACAGACTGCAATTTATTTTCTGGGAAAAGTATGTGGTAGGTCTAGGAATCCAAGAGGGGCTTTATTCTCTAATATATTTATTGCCTAAACTATATTTCTCCTTTTCACTGATATATCTTTCTTTTTTCCTAACCTCTAGATTTGTGACTATGACTGTTATTACCACTAAGCCAGCTCAACTTCATCTGTAAAATCAAAATCATAAGTCATGAACGATTAGATCATCATTAGCCTCCTTTCTCTGATACAACGTAGTGAAGATTAAATTAAATTAGAAATTTCTTACATATACTGGTAAGACCATGACTGTCACACAATGGGCTCTCATCATTATTTCCCCAATATCCTTGCTCTATTACTTCTAGAAATTCTATTTACTTAGTTTTCCAAGTAAGGAAAGCATGTAATACTCAACATTGCTTAAAGTTAAAAAATTGAAATTGACTAATCATTTTTGCCACTAAAAAATAAATTGCAGTATAGATAATATTCCTGCTTTGTAACTTGTTATGAACAATTTTTAACTTTTTAAGAGAGTACAGGATTCTCTTAAACTGAAGAGAAGAAAATATAAATTTATTCAAGAACTTGAACAATGTTAAATGATAGAAATAGAAGATGGTGTAATTTTTTAGAGAGAGAGAATTTTTTTTAATATTTATTTTTTAGTTTTCAGTGGACACAACATCTTTATTTTATTTTTATGTCGTGTTGAGGATCAAACCCAGCCCCTCGTGCATGCCAGGCGAGCGTGCTACTGCTTGAGCCACATCCCCAGCCCCAAAGATGGTGTATTTTTGTGTAAGGAGAAACAAAATTGGAAGCACTGCTTAAAAAAGTGGCCTTAATTTCTTAACTCACTCATTTTGAAGACTATCCCCCTCTTTATGATTGCTTTCTCCCATAGAGTTGGGTCCTTATTGCACACCAGGATATGTCACATCCTCTAGATGACTAGTATATACAAGTTATCTTAGAAAGAAACATATTTTTTAAACACCTGTAATTTGGGGATTATTTATTATTATTATTTTAGATTCCTTCTTCTGGATATATTATGTTATCTTGGTTTCTTGCTTCACTTTAAAATATCTTCTCCCTAACATAGAGATAAATGGACAGATGACTTCTTGAAAGTGAAGTGCCCTTCACATTCCTTTGTCCCTGACCCTGCTCTGGCAAGGTTTAAGAATTAGGCAGACATGCTTGCTTTCCCTTGATTTTTTTTTCTCTAAGGTCATTATACTTATACACCCCCACTCTTTTATACAAATATAATGATAATATATTAAGATTAGGGATAGAACCAGTAAAATGAACAGAAAGGGCAACCTTTATTTAACTTTCAAGGACTGAGCTAAAAGATTGATTCATCATGCCTCACGATGGATCTATCCAAATGATTAGCAGGCTAGACCTTCTACAAAGCTGTAGTGTGTGTGTTTCTGGTGTGACACCTAGTGATACTTTCTTCGTGGATCTTGTAAGGTTAGAAATTCAAGTCCCATTTTTATTAGAAATATAAATGTGTTGGTAAGTAATCCTCATAATTTATTAATTTCTATTAAAAGGCATAATAGTTCTCCTGGTAATTCATTTAAAATTAGTTCATCTTTCTTACACATTCAAATTTCTTACACATTTTAATATTCTAGTTCTTTGATAGTCTAGTTGCACTGTATTTATTATTCTAGTCAAATATAATCCTTTTTTTTTTACTGCCACTATCCTTTATACTGGAATTCCACTCTTTTATATATTAACATCAATCTCTGTTTCTCAAGCTATATTTACATACTTTGGGTTGGTGTAATGTATATTAACTTAAAAATTAATTCTAGATCTCATAACAAACACTGATGGAGGCCAAAATAAAACACATAAGACAGCACTTTAACATGAAATGATTCAGGCTTTGCAGCTATTTCAGTTTAGCTTCCACAGGTTCCCAGAGGTTGTCTACATTTCAGCCAATCAGAAAATAAAAAGATATGAAGGAATGTCTGTTGGAGGTTTTTTGGGGAAGTTATACAACTTGTGCATATATTTTCTGTACATATTCCATTGACTAGTACTTTAAAAGAGGACCACAATAAACTTCAAGGGAAGCTGGGAAACCAACTTGGCCAATATGCCAGGAAGAAGTAAAGAATGGAAATTTTAGTCAGCAGAAAGCAGCTTCCCACTCATTCTTCATGAAATCTTCAATCTTTCTAAAACTAGGATATTTTTCCACATTATGCTGTGTTCCAAGGATGTTTAGGCAGTCTAGAATTTATATTTTATGATAAGTAATTCAACAAACTAGATAATTATGCCCAGAAAGAGAAAAAGTGGTTGAATTCAGTGAGTTGACTATTATGATGTACCATAAAAGAAACTTGCCCTAAATTACAAAGAAAGACTAAATTATGCTTCTTTTTATTACAGATACAAAAAAGCTCACCAAGTGATGTCTTTCAGTGATATTAGTTACTAATATAGACACTTTCATAAGGTAATGGACTTCTCCTTATTGAGACGAATGAAGAAAAGTTGACTACTCATTAATTATTAATGCTGAAAAATGCATTGCACACATCCAATAATGAGGGGAATTTGGGCTGCATGACATCTACATTCCTTATGCAACAGAATAATATTTGAGATAGAAATTAGATTTTTTCTCACTTTTTCTCAAAGTTTCCTTCAATCAACTGCACTACCCTCATTTCTATCATTATCTGGCAGCAGTACCAGCTTTGTCTATTCACTGCTCTCAGGAGGAATATGTTCAAAAAAATTAAGTAATTTAAAATACTGGATATATTCATTATAGCCAAGGCAGAGGGGATTCTCTTGAAAACTATAGCCTTAAAAGAAGGGATAGAAAATTTAGAGAAAAGATTCTCTCTTTTATTTTCTTAAATTTAAGGTTATTATTCCAGTTGTTTGTGCCAAATACCTAGAAGGCATCCCTGATTCCTCCTTATCTCTTATACATCATATGCCTATACATTAACTTTATCAGCTTTTCCTTCCAAAATGCATGTCAGATCTTCAAGATAAATCAGTATAGTCTAGAATGTGATAATCTTATTACTTCCACTGCAAAGATTTTGATCTGTATCACCATTATTTCTTCTTGGGATACTGCAATAACCTCCCAACTCATTTTTCTGCTACTACTGCTGCCTCCTATAATATATTTGCAACGTAAAGTGAGCTTAATCATGTCAGTCCATGATTAACCTTTTTAAAGTCCTTGAATGTCTTTCTGAATCATAGAAATAAAGCCAAAGTCTTATACAATAATCTATGACTTATAAATCCTATTTGTTTTCCCTTTTATCATTTTCCAGTCACACAATCATTTTGCTATTCTGTAAACACTGTATTTTATTAATTCAGGACTTTGGAACCTGATATTCCTTTATCTGGAATATCCTTCCCCTAGATAGCCCATGGCTTAGTCTTTGACTCCAGTGTCACATTTTATGGTCTTCCATATCCATTCTATCTAAAAGTCTAAACTTCCCTTTGATATTCCTATCCTGCTTTATATTTCACCTTGATTCTTATTATTAACATGAACATTCACTAGCAAGATTTTTATGTCAAAAATATTTGATAAATGTATGAATAAAGGGCAATGCTAAATTTTTGTTCAGTTAATTATCATTCAATTGAGGCACAGTACCACAGATATTTGCACATCTTATTATATATTTATTTAGTTTATGTTTGCCTCTTTCATCAGAATGTAAATGCCTTTTTAGCACAAATTTGTTTATGGTTTTATATTCTATGGCTAGAAAATTACCCATCAAATTGAAAAAAAGAATGAATAAATAAAAAAGAATATAATCTAGTTAAAATTCAGTTTGACATATGGTCTTGGTGACATTGACTAAATCTATGTACTGCTCTCTTTCTGAATTTTTAAATAAAATGGGTATTTGAAGACCTTTAACAATTATTTTGATAGACTTCTAGAAATAACTACAAATTGGGTCAAATGAGACCTGCTTGGGCTAACCAAATCTTAACAATTTGATAAATGACATGTTTGAGGAGATATTTTAAATATGACTGTGTGGTTCACCTTGACACAGCCAGAAAAATGCTATTTCAGTTTTAAAAACTATTCCTTCAATCTAGATACTAGGCAGAACCACAGCCAATCTACAACTAACCTACAGCCTGTATGTCACATGTCATGTAACTGTAAATCACTTAGATTTCGGGGTTGTTTTTAAACAGAATAATCTAGTGAAAGATGACCAATAAATCTTTCATGACTAATCATGTTATCAAAAGATTAAAATTAACCTGAATAAGAACAGCAGCCTTCTCCCTCTGTTCTTGGATATTCATAGTATTTTTTCTTTTTTCTTTCTTCAAAATAGTCTGAATATTGATGAAGGAATTTGGCAGGGGTTCTACTGCAGCAGTATGCCTCCGTGTAGAGAAATTGATCTGTGTGCGCACAAGGTAACCACGCCAGTGTGCCTGGATTACTACCGCTGCCCTGCTACAAAAAGGAGAAAGAAAAGTTTTAATCTGCATGAATATACACTTGTACATAAGAGGTGTTCATTACCTATATTTTAAACATGAACTGCATATAGTGCTCCTTAAAACAAAGACCCTTCTTTTGTCTAACTCTAGTTACAGAAGAAATAAAATATGTAAACCTTCAAATTTAAAGTAGCGAATAGGCCAATATTAATGCAAGAGATACAGGTAAAGGGGGGTTTTGTTTATTTCTTTAAGAGAAATATAATAGAGATTTTGCATGATACTAAGGATTTTGATCTGGGTAGAGGGTGACAATGAGAAGAGACAAATAAATACTTAAAATACCCTCTTAAAGCCCAAAAATAAAGTCTAATGTTCTCCTAGCCCATGCCTACTTGCCAATTTCAGGCAAAAAATTAGTCAGTGCTGTGGTTTTCATATCCCCCTATGATATGCAGCAATAAAAGAAAAGTGTGATGAATATCTATGCAGCAATAAAAGAAAGGTGTGATGAATATGTACACTGATAATAAATGAGTACATGCTGTGTTTATCACTTAACTCTTTCTTTTTTTTTCTTTTTTTATTACACAGACACTAGAATGGCAATGTGTAAATCAATGGAAGTTTAACTCTTTCTAATTGGAATTTTTCCCTTTCCCATAAAGATTACTGTCTTACTCTTATTCTCTTTTCAAATTCTTGAATTTGGATTAAAAGATATAAGGTGGAGAAAGGATTCTATTTTCCAATGTTCTCTTGAAACAGTTTTCAATAGTTTTGTAATTTATCAAATCCAATGAAATTTTGTCCTTCCCTCATACAATCTGGTTTAAGACAAAGTCTACTTAAGGAATTCTTTCTATCATACATGACCATAGTTTATTTGTGGGAATTTAGAAAAGTAATAATACAATTATTTGCTAATGCTAGTTTGATTTATTATTGTATTACTATCATCATCATAATCATCATCTTTTCTTAGCAAATATCATAAAGTAAGAAATATCCTTAGCATAAGTGTATTCATAAATCAGGCTTAGGAAACTTTGACATAGCCTAAAGTACATCTTTCTGAATTATTAAATGGCAAATTTTAGTAGGTGAGTATACATTTTCTTTTCCTTTATTCTTGAAGTCTTTGATTTACATCTCTGTTTTCACTTATTCATCCCTACATACTATTATCCTTTAACTACTTTATTTATCATTCAGAAGTTCCAAGTATTATTTATATAAAATTTCAATAGGCAATGTCTGCAGTGTTTGGAGCAAAAGCAATCAATTAAATAAATCAGTAAAGTATAAATCAGGAAACAGTAAAGCCATTTTTAAATAAAATATTATTTCTATAATAGGCAATAAACATCAGTTTTAGGATATTAAACTATTTAACAACTCCCAGAAAGGAAATCACTGCATACACTGATAACTTCTCAAAGTAGGAAGACTGGGGAAAGCAAAATTAGCTACTGTGATATTCTGACTCCTTCCCTGTTCAGCTCAGCACCAATCACTGTCAGAAAAGCTGAGTCTGACATTTTTTCTCTCTCATTGGCTAGACACGAAGGAAAAAAAAACAAAAAAAAGAGATCAAGAAGTTGATAGGCCAAAGTGAAAATCAACCTTTGCTGGTTCAATAAGCAATAAAAGCCAGCCATTAGCCTTCAAATATAAAAGTGTTTAATAATTGCAAGGAATTTTATGTGATTAATCATGAAGATTAGTTTTGTACCTTACAAAACTGTTATGCCAAGAAAATTACAGTATACAAATATCTGCACATATGCTTATTAAATGTTTTACTACAGTTGGAAAATACTTAGCAAATACAAAGGTATAGTTTTTAAATAAATTACTTGATTATTCAGAAAGTATCATTTAATTATTTTAGAATATAATATTTTATTTCTCTTTCAAATTATCTCAGTTATTTAGAAATTAGAAGGCAAGAAAAATTTCACATTTACTCAATTTTAATGAAGTAATACTAGAAATCAAATCAAAACTAGACAAAGTTTAATCAAATTAATCTGCATGGTGATTAATTTGTACACATCATAAAAACATAGTTAAGGGAATTGATATAAAATATTATAGTGATTTAAACCTTGACCAATTTATTATTTAGCACCATTGACTTAATATCATCCATCAAAAATAGTAAATATAACATCTGCAAAGAATATGACTTACAAATCTTACATTTTTTCACTCTGTTCCATATGCTGGTGATTCCTCAGCAGAGAATTTGTCGTTTCTGTTTCCATGAATGAACTTCTTTTGGTGGGGATGCTTTTTGTCTTACCATCTTCTTTCTTCAGGCCTACTAATTTTTCCCGGCTTCTTTCTTCCACAACTTCATATGCAGAGGAGTAGCTTATTGGGGAATTATTAAAGCAAGGGTCCATCCACTGCTCAGAAATTCCTGGTGAGTCTGTTCTATGTTTGTTGGTGCTAGAGTGGAAGACTTCATCTTGCAGTATGAAGTCACTGCTTGGAATGGCCAAATGATTTTTCTGGGTTTCTGATTCATCTCTCTTAGTGATACTTATATCCCCATGTTCATGTGCATATCTGCATTCATTACTAAGTGTCATCAATTTCTTAAAATAATAACAGAAATTTTCTGCAGTATCTAAGGTGAACACATCCCTGAACAAATAAATGATGAGACCATTTAGTATTAAATACTATTCAGTAAGTATAAAACTTTAATAGATTTTGCAAATAAATTTTGTTACATGGCCTAAAATGAACATTAAAATTAATTAAAACATTCACTTTAAATTACTTCTAGTTATTTATAAAATTCACATCATTATAAACAAAATCTTAAAATGTTTTTTTTATTTAATTTAGAACTGTCAGTCCAGACAAAATGTCTGGAAGATTTAGGACCATTTTTATTCAAGATATTTTTGGTACAACTGAATGAGAAAAATTCATGCTTTTATTACCATAAACATGAGAAATCATGGCTGCCTAAATTTGGAGAAGTTATTTATGAAATAAATTTAAAAAGTACTTTCTACATTGACTCTTGCCACACAAAATATTTGTATTGGACTTTTAAACAAAGAATTTATGTTATGGGAAAGTTTGTATTTCTATTTTTCTTTGGAAAAACAATCCATTGCAAAGAGATTTCAAATATTTTAAGACATAAATAGGTGAGATTCTCTTAAAAAATTGTGGATTTCTCTTTTGTATATTGTGATTTATGTAATTACTCAAACTTTCATGTGTTTGTCAGTTATGAAGCCCCCAATAACAAATGTAAAGGATACATGAGCATTATTCTTAGAGACATTTTATTTATCTTCCTTTAAATGTATCATATTTTGAAAATGTTTTACTTATTTCAAACATATATTTTATGGATATATTTAATATATAGTCACAAGTTTGTTTATTTTTTCTTCTGAAATAATGCACTATATAAAAATATTTCATCACAACAAACAAAATGGAAGCTATAATTATTTCCTAATAATGTAAAGATAATTAGATTGTTTCTGTGTTTGTAAAGTTAATTACTAGGCATTAGCAAAGATTTCTTCAATATATTTTTCATATTTTGTATTTTACTCATTTTATTTACTAAAAATTAGAAAAGGTACACAGTGATATCAAATGTTTATGGTAAGGTGCTGAATTCACTGATACAGTGCATTTTATTTTTCCTGTTATAAGGGAGACTCATCATAAGTGAAAAAAATGTGAAAACATTTCTTGTAGCTTATTTGTATTTTATGAAGAAATGCAAATTTTAAAATCCAGTTTTAAAAAGATCAATTATAATTCTATTTATTTATTTATTTATTTATTTATTTATTTATTACCATGGATTGAACCCAGGGATACTCAACCACTAAGCCACAACCCCATCCCTTTTTTTTTATATTTTTAAATTTAGAGACAGGGTCTCTCCAGTTGCTTAGGGTCCCACTAAGTTGTGGAGGCTGGCTTGAACTTGCAATACTCTTGCTTCAAGCAGCCTCCTGAGCTGTATAGGTGTACACTACCACACCCAGCTTATAATTCATTCATTGTAATTCCACCAGGATTCAAGGTGGGGTGGGGAAAAGAAAGTTCTCTTTCTTCAATATTTGGTTACGATTCAGCTTCTGTGCTCTGAATACATGTAAGAGTTGACTGCATTTTTCCAGTGTGGTGCTGTAATACCTTAATATATACATATATTTAGTACATGTATCTTAAAATTTGGTCCTGTAATACCTTAATATACACATATATTTATTATATGTACCTTAAAATTTAATATATATTATAAAACTTGTTTTACTCAATTGTAACATTTTATTTACCTAATTTTCTTTTATGTTAATCTGTGAATTCTTTGAGGATAGTCTTGCCCATAATAATTGTTAAATAAATTTACAACTGATTATTGATAATAGAATGAATGTTTTCAGTGTCTTGAAACATTTTTCAAGTTTCTATTTGTTTTATCTAATATTTTAGCATTGAAATATATCAAATTACACTCAAAATATATATTGATATATTTCTAAGAATAAAATCATGATGTCTAGAAGTTTTTCTAAAGGTAGAATATCCCCTGGAACACACTGATTTAAAGCAAAAACAGCATGGTTGTGACAATCAGCATATTTAAAAATTATGTGTATATTTTACTTTATTTTAAATACTACCAGGAGGAGATAAGAATCTTACCTATTTCCATTGACATACTTTTCACTTAGTAAGTTGAATTCTCGAATTTGGGACTGACAAAATGCAAGCAAATGTCTTGATTCTAGATGACAGTGTTCTTGAGTGTGGATTTCTGAATGAGAGTTTACCGTATCACCATTAAGGATTTTTAGAGAAGGTAACACTTCAAGTAGAGAATGCCTATTAGAAATAGAAAACAAAATGTTAATCTTGATATGAAGAGTACATACTTAAAAATTACCATATGTCTAAGACATAAATAAGCACACAGTGTATTTCTCAGAAAATGCAATTGATTTTGCAGAGAAAAACGTACAGTTTGTTTAAAATTTACAGTATCCTAACATGCACAAAGTAAGTTTTAGAGCTCCTGATGTGCATTTTATCATATTCTTCAAAAATGCACATAGGAAAATCAAAAGTAGAAACTTATGCTGGAATTGGAAATATAAAAGGCTGTATTATGAAAAGAATGATAATATGAGATAAACTCTTACTTTGCAGATAATTAAAATAATATTGCTGAAAGTTACCATTTTCTTCAGAAATAGAGATGAATTTTCATTGTCTTAGTAAAATGTAGTGACAAAAGGCCTAATACAAAAGAGTTAGGAGATAACTTTCATAATCTGGAACACCTAAAATTACATTTTCTCCCAAATCTTGATAAGGATTGTAATTATAACAATTATCAAAATGTGATCAAAAGTCTGTAAGAAGGGTGGGGATTGTGGCTCAGTGGTAGAGCGCTTGCCTGGCACATGTGAGACCCTGGGTTCGATCCTCAGCACCACATAAAAAAAATGAACAAGTGAAATAAAGGTGTTGTGTCGAACTACAACTAAAAAATAAAATATTAAAAAAGTCTGTAACAATTTAAAAGACAAATTATACTTAAAAAAGTCAGAAAGCAAGAGTTTTCCATTAATCCTAGTCTTTAAGAAATAATTGCCCAAATCTTACACAAAATAGTGTAGTAATCTTTACACAATGATGCTAATGGTCACTAGGGAAAAGTGGACTCAATGAACAAGACTCCAATTTTTAAGAATTAATTGGTCCTTTGAGGAAATCTACAAAACCCTGATGAAAGATTCCAAAGAAAAATACATAAAAGGAAAGATATCCCATATTCACAGGTAAGAAAACTTAGTATTGACAAGATGTCAGTTCTTCTTCTATTGATCTAAGGATTCAACTTAATCCAAAATCAAATCCCAGCAAGTTTTTGTATACATTAATAAATCTATTCTAAAGTTTATGTATAGATGCAAAAAATTAGAATAGCTAACATAATATTAAAGAAGAAAAAGTTAAGGGACTGACACTGTCCAACTCCGAGACTGAATTGGACAATTACAATAACCAAGATAGTAAGGTAATAGGTAAAAAATAAAAAGAGACAAATATAGCAACAGAATAGAATATATAGGCCAGAAAATAGAGAAATAGAATGATCTGATCTTTGACAAAAGAGAAAAGGCAGTATAATGAAGCAAAGATTGCATTTTCAACAAATGGTTCTAGACTAGTTGGACTCCCACACTTAAAAAATATGAATCTAGACAAACCTTAAATCCTTCACAAAACATTAACTCAAAATTGATAAAAGAAGTGAATGTAAAATGTGAAAGTATAAAATTCCTATAAGATAACATAGGAGAAAAACCTAGATAACTTTGGATATGGGATGACTTTTTAGATCAAACATCAAACATTTGATCAATGAAAAAAATCAATAAGATAAACATGTTATTAAAGACTTCTATTCTATCAAAAGACTATGTCAAGAAAGTGGGAAAACAAGCTAAAGAGTAGGAGGAAATAATTGAAAAATATAGGGTTGATAAAAGACTATTATTCAGTATATACAAAGAACAATGAAAAGTCAACAATAAGAAAATGCACAGATTAATTAAAATATGGGCAAGAGACCTGACCAGATATACTCATTAAAGAAAGCATAGAGATGGTTTTTAAAAAGTAGGAAAATATATACATCATAATAATTTTGAAGTGCAAATTAAAATAACCATAATATATTACTATACATTTTAGAAAGGCCAAATTTTGAAACACTGATAATAACAAATGAAAGTAAACATGTAAAGCAAAGAAAATCTTCCTTGTTGGTGGGAATGCAAAATTACATAGTCACTGTGGAAGACAATTTAAACATTTCTTATGAAATACTTTCATCCTTACCATATGATTCAGCAATAGTACTTATTAGTATTTACTGAAATGAATTAAAAATTTGTGACTTCTAAAGTGCAAGAAGTAAAATCAAGAATCAATAAATGGGATGGATTCAAACTAAAAAGCTTCTTTTCAACCAAAAATCTTGGGATAAAATCTTTACCACATGCACCTCAAATACAGCATTAATCTACAGGATATATAAAGAACTAAAAAATCAACACCAAAAAAAAAAAAAAAAACAACTCAATCAACAAATGGGCTAAGGAACTGAACAGACACTTCACAGAAGAAGAAATACAGTCAACAAAAATATGAAAAAATGTTCATCATCTGAAATGCAAATCAAACCTTAAAATTTCATCTCACTCTAGTCAGAATGGTAATTATCAAGAATACAAGCAACAATAAATGTTGGTGAGGATGTGGGGAAAAAGATACGCTCATACATTGCTGGTGGGACTGCAAATTGGTACAACCACTCTGAAAAGCAGTATAGAGATTCCTCAGAAATCTTATAATGGAACCACCATTTGACCCAGCTATCCCACTCCTTGGTCTATACCCAAAGGATTTTAAACCAGCATACTACGCCCTTTAACAGATAAATGGATAAAGAAAATGTGGTACATATACACAATTGAATATTACTCATAATATGAAATTATGCCATAAAGAAGAATGAAATTATAGCATTTTCCAGTAAATAGATGGAGCTGGAATATTTCATGCTAAGTGGAATAAGCCAAACTGAAAAAACCAAAGACCAAATGTTTTTTTCTGATAAGCGAGTGCTAATCCATATTGGGGGTAGGAGGTAGGGAAAAATGAAGGGACTTTGAATTGTGCAGAGGAGAGTGAGAAGAGGGGAGTGGGTGTTAGGATGGGAAGGATTGTGGAATGAGACATATATACATGTATGATTACACTAGTGGTGACTCTGCACCATGTTCAGTCATAGGAAGGATAAATTGTGCTCTATCAGTGTACAATGTGTCAAAATGCATTCTACTGTCATGTATTACTAACTAGAACAAATTAAAAAATAAAATTAAAAAACTATGTCCACATCAAAATCTGCAGAGATCTTTATACTGGCTTTATTTATAGTTACCAAAACATAAAAGCAACCAAAATGTCCTTCAGGAGATGTGTGGATAAAGAATCTGTGGTATAAATAGCCAATGGATATTATTAAGTGCTAATAAAAGGTGAACTATAAAGCTAGGATATGGGGAAAATTAAATTCATCTAAAAAGATTACATATACTGTTAAACTATATAACATTTAGGTAAAGGTAAAATTATGAAGACAGTAAGATCACTGGTTGTCATAGGGTGGAATTGGGAGACAAGGATAGAGAGAACACAAATTTTTAGGGCAGTCAGTGGAAGTATTCTATATGATACAACAATGGTAGGTAAATGCCACTAAACATTTGTCAAGAGTCACAGAACATAAAGTAGCAGATTAAACCCCAATGTGAAGTATGAATTTGGGGTAACAATACCTTGTCAATGCATTTCCTTGATTGTGACAATTGTACCACTTTGGGCAGGATGTTAATAATGGGAGAGGTGGTGCATGTGTGGTTATGGGGTATGTGGAACTCTTTGTACTTTATGCTCATTTTTCTGTAAATCTATAACTGCTTCAAAAATAAATTTTATTAATCAGAAAAGATAAACAATTATTTGACACAGGAGGAGGGGTGACAGGGTAAGATTACTAATATGGTTAAGATTTAAAAGGGAAAATTCCAATGAAAACACTAGTATCAGGTATTCCTACTGGTAGACAGTATAGGCTGGTTAACATATTCATTTATATAAACCAAGTTGGAAAACAAAACATTAATAGTTTCTTCTCATGGAAGATATGACCTGCAAAGAAAAAATGCATAGGGTTAATCAAAGCCATAAGGCACACCTGCATATAATTGCAATTTATGTAATCTTGAAACTGAATTAAAGATAATAACGAATTAATCTTCCTCCATGACAACAACAAAAAAATAGAAAATTTCTTTATTTACCAAGGATAGAGATGGTTACCTCCCCAAATTGCCTTTATCCCTTTCCAAAAAAAAACATCTTTTTTGCTTACTAATATTTAAATAAGAAAAGAGGGAAAACAATTTAGGTCTCATTCTTTAAGGGAATTATCATATACCTTACAATGTTAGATAGCTAAAAAGCTTTGTCATTGTGCTAATAAAACTTTGAAAGAATTAAGAATATTTGGATACATATATTTTGAACCTATTTAGGAAACTTGAAGTTACCAATGTTTACCAAATCATGAACTGCCACATTTACCATAAGGGGTATATGAAGGGCATATATTGTGTTTCTGGTTGCATTCAATTAAGGATATGGTTCAAAAGCCAAATGTTATATTAATATAATAGCTAATCATCACAGTGGTGACAAGATAATCAGAGGTAATCACCAAAAAGATGAAATATTAAATACTACATAAAATCTTTGATTAGGTTCTCATCATAAAAGCAAAAGTCATTATCTGAAATTTAAGTTATTAATAATCAAAATAGATGAAGAGATCAATTATCCATATTCCACACTATTCTACCCTGCAAATTTGTTTATTACATTAGCCATGAGGCTACATTGTGTTGTTATTAAGTTTCCATCAAACTACCAAGTTTTTTAAAGATATGACTGAAAGGTCAAAATAAATGATCTAGTTAAAATCATAATATATTAGGTATGAAATAATGATGCTTTTGAGATAGATAGTAAAAGAAATTAAGTTGAGAATGTGTCTATGTTCCTTTAACATTAAAAACAGATATTCTGATTCTTTGTATTGTTTCTTTAGGTTCTACTTCTTAAACTGTAGATAAGCAATCATAAAGTTTTGACAACTTGATGGAAGCATTCTTGAGCATAACCATCTCATAACCAGTGTTTTTTAATTCTTTGGGTACCAACCAAATTTCCGTCTGATGCCTTGGGGA